CCTAAACCGAAACATCATTTATCCACTTTAGCCGATGAACCTCGAGCGGTCATTCGGGGAACAAGTAACCCCCAGGGGCATTCCGGGAAAGGTTGCGGACCACAATTTTGTACCCAGTCGCTTCAACGTGCCAGCGACGGAGAGCATGCAGAGAGCCACGTAGCTCTAAGTGTGGGCCACGTATGGGCCCGAAACCACCACCTGCGCGTCCACTTGGCAAGACGCTAGAATTGTCTTCCCGGAATGCCCCTGTGAGTTTCCTCCCTCCAGAATTTGTGTGCTCGTCCAAATTTTTTTTGGGTTGGTTTTCTCGTTTGGAGACGGGTGGCAGCGCATGCCATGCACGCCTAATGTCCAGCTTTGCCACGGGGGCGTTTTCTGTTGTCATATCTCTCTCTCTGGTGTGTGTGTATATATATAAAGCTCTTCATTGCGCTACTACTTGTGTTTAAAACTTCTCTCTCTCTTTTGGTTCTCTCGTTAACATTTATAAACTCATTCCATTGGTAAGTTAAAAGGTTTCAATTCTTCATTTCTCTGCATATTTATTCTCTACTTTTATCTCCGTCTTATAAATATTTTTCAATTCTCAATGTTTACTTAACCAATCTCATAATTATGGGGTATAGTGCTTTAGTTTTAACCTTTAAAACTTCTCTCTTTTCTTTTTTACTATCAAAGTTTCAATCTCTTAGTTTGTCTTTGCTAGCCACTGAAAGGTGGAAGAAAGTTTACAGCATAAGTATTAATATCGGTCACAAGTCTATAAAATTAAGGCACTCCCAGTATTTTGGAGTTATTAATTATAAAGGGTTAATTTTAGAAAAACCTCTAAACTATGGGTTGTTTCAGAAAACCATCCAACTATTTTAAATCTAGAAAACTACCCTTAATTATAGAGTTGTTGTAGATAACTTGTTCCCCTTAATTTTTCTCACTTAAACACCTAAACTTATATAATCTAAATATAATCTAAATCTAAAGGTACAAATGATTTAAAATGACCACGTGGTCCTTTTCAGCTTTTTTTTAATTAAAAAATCTTTCATTTTATCCCCCGCCGCCGCCCCCCATCCATTTTCTTATTCCTCCGTCTTCATTGTTAGGTTTACATGAAAATTTATTTTTTTCTTTCTTTTTAAACACTTAAATTTTTTTATTTTTAAATTATTCATGCTTGTAATGTTTGAAACAATTGAGACTTTTTTTTTAAGATTAGTTTCCTCATCAAAAAGTCATCAAATCGAAGTCTAATATTTTTTGATTGAGTTGGGTTTTTAAACTCACACAAACTTTTTTCAACCAGGGATATTTTAGTCATTGCGTATTTCAAATGAATAATATTAGAAGGTTATTTGAAAAAACTAAAAAGATAAAGGGGTTCTATGAGACACCATAGTTAAGGAGGTTTAGTCATATTTTGGAAGTTAAAGGGTTATCTACAACCCCTTCAAATTTAAGGGGTTTTTCTATAGATAAAATAGCTAAGGGGGTTTTCTAAAACAAGCTCAATAGTTGAGGCGTTTTTTCAAGAATGTATAAATGCTTTTTTACTTAAAATAATAATATTTTGCCTTAACCTTCTCTTGCTCTTGTCTTCATGTTATGAGATGCTATGTGATGTTATGTGCGTCAGCTCAGGGGTTATAACATTATAATTGCATGTTATTTGCACATCTAGATATTTTGCTATAACATGTGTTAACAATGCTAGAAGTAACTCCCGTTGCCAACCAGTATCTTTGTTTTTTCCTTGGTAACATAGATAACAAAATACCTAGCTACTTGGCCATAACACAGATTTTCTTTAATTTCATACTTCTTTTTTTAAAATCTCTGAAATCATATTAGCCGTTTTTATTTTATTTTATCGGAAATTTGAAGGCATGACAAGGACACACTTGACAATTCATTTTTCTCTAGTAAGACGGCCAAGCGAACAGAACAAAGAGAAAATGGCCACAGAAGATGAAGCAACGAGCAAGCTCAAGGTATGGAGATCCGCTGCGTACCGAAAAGGCACCGACACCCAGCTCCTCAACATCAAATCTGGCGCTCATCCAACGAATCTTTTCATCCTTTCCGGTGACCGCTTTGAAGCCTCGAAGGCATTTCGGGCAGGAGACTTATCGGTGCGGATAATAAGGTTATCGGGCAACCCTGTGTCCATGGTGACTTGCATGGTCGGGGATCACCAGTGGATGCTGGCGAAGGACTCAATGGTGCTCCGTGTCGGGCCCCGCTCGTTTGTGTTTGCACTGCCAGGGCTGCTTTATGGGCTGGCATTGCCGGCAGGCGGGCAGATGGAGCAGCGGTTGGAGATGTTGGAGGAGATCTTTGGTAGCTTCTGTGCTTATCAAGATCTCGTGGCCAAAGATGGTAACTAGCTACATATAGCAATTTTATTTTTTTGATTAGTTGAATAATTGAATTTTGTAATTTTAACCCTCTCATTCATCATCTAAAGATTCCATCAGTATAACCCTTATAGAATAGGATGGATATGGGTAATAAATTTGAGAATAATTTTGGAATTATAGTTACTCTCTTACATGGTGTAAACCATCCAATTTCTACAAGGATGTTTCTCATAGAATTTCTAGTAGAAGGCTAATAATGGATACCATTTTCTCAATTATAATTTTCATTAATATGTAAATGGCTTTCTATATTCATTTATGTACACATATCTAGAAATTTCATTATTTCATGTGAAATGTACTAGTCTTCAACTTTAAATTAAAGATAATTGTTCTGTCAGTCAAATTTTATGTTGGTATGATTGAAAAAATTGATCTAATTAATAATGCGTGAGTGATATTTGAAACTTGTTCATGACATCAAATTTTTTTTGTGGAGAAATAGTGGCCCAACTAATTGATGCCCCCCCTAAATGGGGCTAGGAATTAATTTTAACCTGCTCATTTAACATATATATTAAATAATAAATTTTTTTTTGTCGATGAAGCAATTTTATTTCATTTCCCAAATTTTCAGTTATGTTCACCTCAATAATTCAGCATTAACAACGCTGAACAAAAACACAAGTAGTAAACAACTACTCTCAAAAAGAGAAACTCAGCTATTTACAAATTTTGGCTTTCATAAAGCTAAAAGCCATGCTTTATGCTCTGCTGAAAGTGAACGGTTGAGTGTGATTGTCAAAATATCTACTTTGATCTCCCATGTTATCGGGTCAGCACTTTTGATTTCATGGCTGAATGAAAATTCTATTGTTTCTCTCCCTCCCTCCATAAGCAATATATTGTAGCTGTCTTTTTAAATAATAAATCTTACTCCTATCTAAATCGATTATTCTTTTCTTATCCTTTTGAATTATGTGGGGTTATAGTCACGTATGGGTATCATTAACAAAATTAAGTATCTATGATCTAAAGCATATGCATGCAAAATTTAGTTTTATCGTTATTTTTTTTATTTAGTTTATGTGGTTATTGTCTGAAGTATGGTCTTTATGCTATTGACTTTAATTTTGTCGTATCCCATATAAGGTCGTCATTTTAGATATAAGTTGCTTCATAGGTGAGATATTTACCCACCTTAGACTTCAAACCATAGAAGACTTTGACTTGACTCTTTCTTAACCCTGTCTCTCATCTTATTGGGTCAAATTTTCTAGGATCCAAGTTGGACGACCCGAAACCCGAACCCGACAACTGGGCCAATGCATACACCAAAATTCTCACTCTTGCTGCCGAGGCCAGCGCCAAAATCTCCACCACCAGCCTCACACCCAAGTCGTCATCAACCTCCTCATCATCAGACTCATCATCAGACTCGACATTGAAAAAGATACAGCGCGCTGTTAGAATGTCGGCAGCAATCAAGCTACTCTCCAGGGCCCTGCTCAGCGGGTCGTTGATCCCCGGCAACCACCTCCATTTGTGTCGCCCGTTGACACCGCGGCGCCGCAGTAGTGCATACCTACCCGACAATGTGGGCCATAGCAGACATTCTGGATGCCATTGAGGCTGGTAAGTCACCATTGTCGAGGTGCGACGGGAGGTGGGAGTAGGGTTTTGGGGAGTAAAAGAGGAAGGGGGGGGTCTGGTGATATTGTGAAGTTTTACGGTGAGTGAGGAAGAGAGGTAGGGTTGTCGAAGCTGCGGATCGGGTGGAGGGAAGAGGAGGGAAGTCCACCTACGGAGGGAGTGGTGATGTTGTGATGGGGGAAGAGGCGGAGAAGAGGGTGGCAGGTGCTTGTGAAAGTATTCTTCATAATATAGTGAGAGGCAGTGTGTTGCTGTATATCAACCCCACCCCCGCACCCCCCCCCCCCCCCCCCCCCCTTTTGTTTGTAAGAAACGAACAGGCTAAAGATTTGAGAATTTGTACTGCGTCACCAATTGGGGAAATGTTAGAAAGTAACTGTTGCGTGAATCTCTCTACAACCTCTTCAAATGAGAAAGATAATTAGTTTTTTAACATTTAATTAAGTAGAAATATTTCTAAAAGATTTAGTACAGACGCAATCGAAGGTGATTCTATTTTTGTTATTTAGCTCTCTTTACACGAGTAGAGGATAAGTACGGAGTTAGGGCCTCTTAGACTATCTCCAATGGTGTCCTATTTAATTGCCATTCCCAACATGCCACATAATATTCTCTCTCTTCCACATAATCAAGATCACCCCACAAACATTCACCATTTCCAATGGTGTCTTATTCATGTCTAATTTGGACCCCACTATCACTTCTAAATATTCCAAATCACCAACATATCTACCCCAATAATGTTTTATTTATAATTAACTTTTAAAAAATAAATAAGAAAAGTGGATATTGATTTGTAGATAATTTTTTATTATGAAAAATGATAATTTTTATGAAAAAATATATTTACAAATAAACTCTATATCTATAAATTACTAAAAAGAGGAAGAAAGAGGAAGAAAGAAAAAAAAAGATGAAAGCTTTTTTCAAACACCGCTCGGATTTCCAGAAAAAGCATGGGCCCATGTTGAATTTGAGACAGTCTCATTTATTTGAGACAATGGAGTCTCTCTCCATCCTTGGTGGCAAATAAGACAACAAATAGGACACTAGTGGGTGTCTCTTTCCAATTAATAAGACTCCATTGCTGATAGTCTAAGCTGCAAGTTTTGTTGTTTGTTTGGTGATGACATCACAGTAGAATGTTGCTCCATCGTCCCATAACCATTTGGGCTCTCAGAGCAGTATGTTACTCTAATAAGCCGCCCTTTCGTTGTTGAGAATGTAGCACCGATGCCTCTAATGTGAGTTTACCTGAATCCTCTTATGAAGCCATTTTAGACGTAGCACCCTCTTCTGTTTCCAACTTTGATAGAACATCAGCAGATGATGCTTGCAACTTAACGCCGATAATTTTGGTTTGTGTTTGACGTAATGCCCTGCTAAATTGAACTTGTGCTAATTTTGGTTGCTAGAACTGACTACTGTTTTCCCAGAGCATGCAACTTTTTGTTAACTCCAGGTGAGTACTCTTTCATAAATCGAAAGGTGAGAGACCCCCCCCAAAATACACGGTTATTTGAATAACGAGAGTTTGGACAGGAACTGACGAAACTTAGCAACAGTCTACAAAGGTTGTCTATAGAGCTATATATTGATACAAGGAAGAGTAATTATGGTATATAAGAGATAACTCAGATACAAGCATAATATATATAGGATACAACTTTTAGAACATAAACACATACCCTCCCACCGCAACAAAACTCAACGATGGATTGAATAACGAGAGTTTGGACAGAAACAGACGAAACTTAGTGGTAGCCTAAGCTTTTGTGAATAAATCAGTTATCTGATCCCCTAGAAGGCATGTAAGGAAGAATAATCTGTTTTGAAATATTATCCTAATGAATTAGATGACAATCAACTTCAATGTGCTTTTTCACTAGCAGAATTTTGGGCATCAGGGGGGCCAGTCAAGAATATCCCGTCAGTAAAAGTCTCGTCAAGAATAAAACATTCTTAATGGGGGCCCATCAAGGATGCACATCCTTGATGGGGAAAACATCCCTAACGAACAGTCATCAATGATGTACTTTGAGAAAAAAATGCTAAAAATAGATTTTCCCTTGTATACACAACAAATATCCTATTCACGATAATATTTAAATAAAATTACATTCAAAGATATCAACAAAAACAATGATCTTATCATAATCATCAAAACAAAACACATTACCTACTCAATTCATCCATAAATCATACATAAGTATCTCTCATACAACCGAGCAATCACCACCACAGACAGGTATATATATCTCTCATACATGTCCAAGATATATAAAATACTAAAAATGGTCCAAATGCAAAGTAAATATATCTCTCATACATGTAAAAGATACATGATACAACTCACTAATTTTGGTCTTCCTCCTCATTCATTTCCTTAATCCCGTTTACGCTGGAGATTCTACTCCTATAAGTTGTGCTCCCGACATCATCATCTGCATGCTAATAAAAAAATAATTCATATAAGATCACCTATTGGTATTTATCTACCACAAAAATTAATTAGAAGAAGGTATTTTGACAATTTTGTTACCACCTTTGATTTGCTAATTTTTTTAATGAAAGTTATGTGAACGAACGCGTTAGTGGGAGGTGGGCCAGACCCACGTGAACGCGCAGAACCACATGACAAGGTTCCGTCTGAAGAGAAGAAGCCGGGCACGTTTTGATTTTAACCGCTGGCCCCCGGGCGCATTTTGATTTTAACCGCTGGCCTACGAATGTTTTCATCAGGCTATAAATAGCCATATTATTTTGCCCTAGGTTTACGGTGTGAGAGGGGTGAAACACAGTCGCTTGGGAGAAAGAAAAAAAACGCAACCGTCCTTTTTGAAGAAAAAGTGATTTTTTGAGCAGTCCTTTTTTAAGGGTTTTGTGCATCCTTTTGTAGAGAGATATTGTGAGGGATTTGAGAGTTTGTTTGAGGATTTAGGTTGTGAGTGATTATAAACCCTAGTTGTATTCTCTCTCTCTAATAGTAGATCTCCCCCCTCCTTGCCCCGTGGATGTAGTCAATTTGCCGAACCACGTAAATTTGGTTGTATCGCTATTTGTATGATTTGTAATAGCTTTTAGGTTCCCTCAACAGGTCAGTCCTAGAACTGATGAGAGGAAGAGCTGATGTATGATTTGTAATAGCTTTTAGGTTCCCTCAACAGGTCAGTCCTAGAACTGATGAGAGGAAGAGCTGATATCTCACTTGGTTGAGATATTTTGCTTCAGATTCTTGTTTTCTTGGTGAGACAGGAATTCTTATTGCGACCTAACTCTCTTGTTGTGCTACCGAAGTGTTGCCGTCATTTTCGTTGCGTGCAACAAGTGGTATCAGAGCCTAGATTTCAGATCTAGGATGTTTTGGATTAGGTGGAGGAAGATTCAATTGGAAGCTTGGTTCTTGAAGTTCTAGGCTTCGATGGAGATAGGATTTGAAGTTGCCGTTGGAGATCTCGCTTTCCTCGTGTGGTTAGGAGTTCTATTTGGAATCCAATCCAGGGTTCAGTTGGGTAATTTCTTATTCCTTTCAAAGTTTGAATCTTTCTTCGCAATTTAGAGTTAGTTTGTAATGGGAGAAGAAGGTGAAAGCAGCAAGTCGATGGCGAGTACAATACAAGTTGGTTTTCAGAACACTAAAATTAGTGTGGTGAAGTATGACGGTAAAATCAACTTTGGTTTGTGGATGAGCGACATACAGGATGCGCTCAATACTCAGAATTCGAAAGAGACCATCATGGTCCACGAGAGGCCACCTAAATATGAAGAGGCGGTATAGGAGAAGATGAATAGGAACGCTTGTGGGGTGATCAGGTCCTGTTTGGAACAGGAGCTGAAATATGATATGATTGGGGTGACGTCTGCAATGAAGATGTGAAAAATTCTCAACAATAAGTATCTCACAAAGAATGTTGAGAACATGTTACACTTGTTGCGAAGACTCTTCAGATTTCAGATGTCCAGAGGCACCTCGCTGGCGGCTCATATGAACAACTACACTAAGTTGTTGTCGGACTTGGCGAATATTGATGAGAAAATATCGGATGAGTACAAGGCTATTATCTTATTGGGCTCCTTACCGGATGAGGAGTATGATACCTTCGTGCCCATTTTGTTGAACGGGAGATCTTCTATCAGCTATAGTGAAGTAACTAACGCATTGACCAATTACGATTTGAGGAGGAAGGACAATGAGACTTCCCGTGCTAGCACTTCAGACGAGGCCTTATCGATGAGAGGTAGAAGCCCATATCAGAAAGGTGGTAATAGAGGAAGGTCAAAGTCAAGAAGCCGCCACCAATTAGCAAAGAACCAATATGCATTCTGCAAGGAGCAGGGACATTAGAAGAGAGACTGCCCGAAGCTCAAGGAGAAAGAGAATGGCAAGAAAAAGGGCCCAAAGGCCAATGAGGTGAATATTGCGAAAGGCGATGATTCCGATGATTCATGCTTTTCTCTACTGATTACTCCAGAGGTGAACCATGTGGATGCATCAGATTGGATACTTGATTCCGGCGCTACTTATCATATGACCCCTAGGCGAGACTGGTTTGCATCTTTTGAGAAAGTCGACGGGGGTGTTGTTATCATGGGAAATGATCAATCCTGTGGCGTTTGTGGGATAGGTACCGTGCGGATTAGGATACACGATGGAGTAGTCCGTGAGTTGAAGGAGGTGAGATTTTTTCCTCAACTGAAGAAAAATGTTATCTCAGTTGGAGCTTTGGAGGCGAAGGGATTCGAGGTGACTTTCGAAAACACTGTAGCGAAGGTTACTAAGGGATCATTGGTGGTGATGAAGGGAATCCGTAATCAAAATTTGTATTATCTGAAAGGAAGCACCGAGATTGGCCAGGTTGCTTCGGCTATTTCAGAAGCGGACATGAGTAGACTTTGGCACTATAGGTTGGGGCACATAGGTAAAAAGTCACTACAGACATTGTGCAAGCAGAGGCTATTGAAGGGAGCCAAGAGTGGGAAGATTGAGTTCTGTGAGTACTGTGTTCTTAGCAAGAAGATGAAG